GAAAGGTGCACCAAATAAGTACATTAACCTTATACAAGCCCTTTACTCGAACACCACTGGTCGAGTGAGGGCTTATGGAGAACTGTCACCGGAATTCTCTACTTCAAGTGGTGTCCGTCAGGGATGTTCACTTTCTCCATTCTTGTTTAATTTTATCATAGACATGCTCCTAGAAATAACCTTATCCTCGTCTGAATTTTCAGGAGTAGACCTTCTACCAGGTGGCTCGCTTATCGACCTAGAATATACCGATGACATTGTCCTACTTGGTGAAGACGCTGACAAAATGCAGAGTCTTCTGACTACCCTAAGCAACAATGCAAGCATGTTCGGTATGCGATTTTCGCCCTCGAAATGCAAAATGTTGCTTCAAGACTGGATTGCATCGGCACCTGCACTAGTGATAGGGAGTGAAGTAGTCGAGCGTGTGGACCGCTTCACTTACCTTGGGAGTCTCATCAGTGCCGATGGCCTGATCACTGACGAAATCTCAGCTCGGATACAGAAGGCTTGATTGGCTTTTTTCAACCTGCGTCACTTTTGGCGTAGGCGTGATATCCGTTCTCTAATCAAAGGACGAGTGTACTGTGCGGCAGTCCGCTCCGTTCTCCTATATGGCTGTGAAACATGGCCAGTGAGAGTAGAAGATATTCGTAGGTTACTGGTTTTCGATAATAGGTGTCTTCGAAGCATTGCTTGTATACCGTGGGACAACCGAGTAAGCAATGCTGTCGTTAGGAAACGAGTACTAGGCAAGGATGGCATATCAATAGATGAAGTGGTCGAACTTCATCAGCTGAGGTGGTTGGGACATGTCTTGCGTATGCCGAACCACCGACTGCCTCGACGAACTTTGTTTTGTAGTGTAGGAGTAGGTAGGAAGAAAGTTAGGGGCGGCCAAACCAAAACATGGCAGAAATCCATGAAGTCATTGACGAGTGGACTGAGCCATGTCGGTAATTGTCGACTACCTGGTTGGGGTCCGCGAGATGATAATAATCGATGGCTAGAGACCTTGAATGACATGGCTCAAAATCGTTCGCAATGGCGCCGGTGCATTTATTCTTTGTGTTCTCTCAAATCCTAATCTTCTGGATTCTTCAACCCCTCTCTTTCTGACTTTCTAAGCTTTTCTCACTGAATCATACTTCTTTAATAATATCTTCTAAACCTAACCTCTCCAACTACTTCTAATACCTTTACTACCTCTACTACTATTGGATTTGAATTGACAATTATATCTCTGTGCTGATGTGGTATGGCAACATGAACTGATGTACTTACGTACGAAGTTCTACGTTGCATCTGACTGACTGACTGATAGATGGAAATATTTTTCTGCTATTGTGATAACATAGGTAATGTGTGTGTAATATACTTATTTTTGGATCAATACTAGGTCTGTTTTTCTGTCGGCCTTGTTACTTCTCAAATAAAGGATCAGATCGTAAAGCATCTGTGGGGATGTTAGATCCACAGAACTCGCTTGATAAATATCTTTATTTTGGATTTATTTAACGGGCCGACCAGTTGACCTTGAGATCACACTCCCCACTAGGAAAATCCTTGGCTGTGATTGGTTACTGTGTCATTTTAGTGTGCTATTTTTGTGAGTCCCAAGGACATCTCTATGGTGTATAAATAAACGCGATTTGTGTGCTTGATTGCATTGTGCTTGTTGGGTGTTTGCAGAATACACTTTCTGCGCTATATCAAGACTTTTTCGTTAGTTCGTTTAGGTCAACGGATCAGAGTAGCCTACCCGGACCCTGGTTCATTGTTTGTTCTCGTTATTTGACTAAGGTGAACCCGTAATAGTTTTAAGCATACCTAGAGACGAGTATAACAGCATCCTGAATTCTACTTCATTTACTTACGCCTGTTACCCCTCCATCATGCAGTATAGACCGACGATCAGGATTCTCCAACCAACTCCGATTAGGGTTATCATTTTTAGTTGTCACATCCTGTTCATTCCTTTGATGCCTTCCTCAGACTACCTGCTCCCAACTCGTTAGGACCAACACTCATCTATCTTCTTTTTCAAGTTCTTCAAAAAACAAACACATTGTAGACAGCCGGGATGTGACAACCGCCCTCATACCCGTAACAACACACGAGACCAGATCGGTCATAATATCAAATCCTTCTTACACCCACAAATATCTCACACTTCTCCACAGCCGACTTTTCTCACGTTCCATCACTCCGTAACGCTACTGCAAAGGAAGCAAGTTCATGAAACGTCATTCCTAGTCTCCTGAAACCACGCTATAGACTACATGTTGGAGCATTTAATTTACGGACATTGTGTCAAATAGGGCAACAGGCTTCATTAGCTAGGACTTTAGAATCTCGCGCCAACGATGTATGCTGCGTCTCCGAAACGCGCATGCAGGATCCTAGTAAAGTCATTATTCTGATTTCATCTTGTCAAAATAAAGAAGCAGCTTGATCTACTCTTCGTGTATGAGGTAGCCCCGATGCTGCTTCCAGGCTCTCGCTGGCGAAGGTACAGCATTAAGTCGTAGGGCAGAACTAGCTCTCCTAGACTGGATCCCAGTAGATAGTCGCTTGTGCGCTGTCCGAATAAAACGGGACAGTAACGACTCGGAAAGATAGGGACACTCGCCGTCGCATCTTCGTCGTATCTGCCTATGCACCCACTGATTGTAGTTCACACGATGTGAGAGATGAGTTTTACAGAAAGCTTTCGGACCTCCTCCAACAAGTTAGGCACTCTGATGTAACAATAATGGCTGGTGACTTCAATGCTCAAGTAGGTAGACTAAGTGAAAAGGAAAGACACCTAAGTGTATCTTATGGTGTCGTGGCTGAGAGAACAGGTAATGACGACCGTCTGTTGCATCTATGCTCAGATAACCGCCTATTCCTAGCAAACACTAACTTTAGACATAAGGAAAACATCCTTTGACCTGGCGACCCCGAAAGTCGTATCAATGTTGGACTCAACTAGATCACATTGCCATCAGCCACCGATGGAGAGGTTCAATGGAGGACTGTCGCTCGTTCTGGAGCACGTGTTTAGATTCAGATCATGCTGTAGCAGTAGCGCATATTTGTTTGCCAATTCAGGTTAGAATTTCATAGAACACAAAGAATAAATGCATCTCGCGGACCCCAACCAGGTAGTCGACACCTACCGACATGAATCAGTCCACTTGTCAGTGTCATCCACTGAACTGATAGACGCTCGAAAACTTATCCCACCTAGCTCTGAACATAATGAAGAGCCAAGTCAGCTTAGGCGCAAACTGATAAAAAGCTTACGCGATGATCGCGAACAGTGGTGGATAGCGAATGCAAATGCGATGGTAAAGGCAGCGGCGGTAGGCAACAGCAGACTGTTGTTCCGACTTATCAAGGAAACCGCTATTAGAAATCTATCTGTTAGCGAAACCATCGAACGTGAGGTTCTGTGGCAGTCTGTCGTTAAAAGGTGTACCAAAGAAGTGCATTACGCTTATACAGGCTCTCCACTCGAAAACTACCAATCGAGTGAGAGCCTAAGACGAACTGTCATCGGAATCAGTTACATCAAGTAGTGTCCGTCAGGGATGTCCACTCTCTCAATATGTTTAACTTTGTAGTAGATACACTTTTAGAGTTAAAGTTATCATCTGATTCCTCAGTAGTGGGCCTTTTGCCCGAGACACGCTTGCTGACTTGAAGTATACTGATGACACAGTCCTATTCGGTGAAGACGCTGACAAAATGCAGAGTCTTCTGACTACTCTAAGCAACAGTGCGAAAATGTTCGGGATACAGTTCTCACCCGCGAAACGCGAAATTTTGCTTCACGATTGGGTCGCATCGGTACCTGAACTAGTGGTAGGGAGTGAAGTAGTCGAGCGTGTCGACCACTTCACTGATGACCTGTTGATTGACGGAATCTCAGCACGGATACAGAAGGCTCGATTGGCTTTTGCGCAGTCGAGATATCCGCTTGCTGACTAAAAGACGAGTGTACTGCCGAGCAGTTCGCTCTGTCCTACAATACGGATGCAAAACATGGCCAATGAGAGTAGAGGACATACGTAGATTGCTTGCCTTCGATCATCGGTGTCTCCGAAGCACTGCTCGTGTATCCTGGGACAACCGCATAAGCAAAACTGTTGTTAGGAAACTAGTTCTAGGCAAGGATGGCAGATCAATAGATGAAGTATTGAAACTTCATCAGTTGAGGTGATTAGGACATATGTTACGAATGTCTAACCACCGACTGCCTCGTCGAGCTATATTTGGCGATGTAGGGATAGGTTAGAAGAAAGCCAGTGGCGGCCAAACCAAAACATGACAGAAATCCATGAAATCGCCAACAAGTGGAATGAATCATATTGGTAGATATCGACTACCTGGTTTGGGGTTCACGAGACGAAAGTCACTCTTGATTTATCTGATGGCTATGCTGATTTCTTCGATATTGTTTCGAATTTCATGATTCTGCAATCCAATTGTATCAAGTTTCTAGTGACATAATTCGACTGATTAAACAATGAGTCCAGAAGTGATAAACTATCGATACATATTTCAGTATGTCTGAAAGACCATTTAGGTTTCACTAAGTAGTAATGTTGTTTATATAACCTTAATGAAAGCTTTGCTTCATGACACAAAAGGCTTCAAATAATACCCGTTCAGTATAAAAAATTCATCTGTTAGTTTATTAATAATCTTGTTAAAAGTGAGATTTCTTTTTAAGAGAACTTAACAGTTAGAATTTAGGTCATTCGTGATGGAATAAGTTTACCAGTTAATAGTGTATCGAAATTGATGAACAAAACTGAACCGAAACTTTTATCCCTGTTTCTTCAAAAGAATTCTTTGTAGTAGGCGAAGACACGACTATCATTTTATAGGTTTACGTCAGACCCTTAGTTGAGTTATAAATAAGTGATTAAAAATGTAATGGGTCCTAGCCGGATTATAAACTGATTTAGCATCTAATAACACCTACTCGCTGATTAAAAATCTTGAAATATTTACAAAATGTTTATTGTAAGTTGGTCTTATTATTAGGAAGAGAAATAAACTCATAGTGATATTTTGTCCAACACAATGGTGAGGAAATACAATATACCAGTTGTTTTACTCTCTTTAAAGGTTTGCCAACAAGAAGTGGGATTCTTTAGGTCCGTCTTCCGTATCTAAAAATTATAATTCGTAATTTAAGTAAAATGTACGAATAAAGTATATCAATAACTGTCATCAGTTAAGCCACTTAATAAAACTACTATGACGGAATATAAGCTGAATTTATGACAGTAGAATAAAAATTATACAGAAAACCGAATTAAAAGCTAAGAAAAACTACAATGATAAGTGTAAAGTTTTACTTCTAAAAACAGTATTATTTTTTTAACAGTGGTCGAGACATTTCCATCGTAATTGCTTATTTGATTTCATTACAGTTACAGTAAGTGGTTAGATATTATATGAACAATCGTACACTGAGACTAAACGGCTACTAAAAAACTTTGTTCATTAAGCCGCAACGTAGAACTTGGTTGTACGTACATCAGTTCAAGTTGCCATAACACATTAGCACAGAGACACGCAATTGTCAGTTCAAATCTCAGAGTACCAGAGATTGGAACAGTATTAGCGGTAGCGGAAAAGATTAGGGATCGAAGATACGATTCGAGAAGTACAATCCAGTGAAATAAATTCAACAGAGAAAAAGAAAGGCCCTGAGGAATTCAGAAGACATTAGAATTTGAGAGCAACAAACAGTGGGTACATCTGCACCATTGCAAACGATTTTGTGCCATGTCATTCAAAGTCTCTAACCACCGGTTACTATCGTCTCGCGGACCCCAACCATGTAGTCCACACTTACTAACACGGCTCAATACAGCTGTCAATGACTTTATGGACTTGTGCCATATTTTGGTTCGACCCTTCCTAGCTCTCTTCCAGCCTACTGCCACACCAAACAACATCGCTCGTTGATGTAGTCGATGGCTGGGAATAAGTAACATCTTGACTGATAGACATTCACTACCTCCTCAATTGATTTTTCATCCTCACTTTCTACCCTTTTTCTAATGCCAGCATTGATTACTCGATGGTCCCAGGATATACGAGCAATGATTCGAAGATAACCATGATGGAATACTAGTAATCTACGAATATCCTACATTCCTAGTGGCCATGTTTCACATCCATATAGTAGAACAGAGCGAACAGCTGCGCAGTAAGCAGTTGACAGACGGATGTCTCGCCTACGCTATGAGGGACGCCAGTTGGCAAAAGCCAGTGAACCTTCTGAATATCTGTGCCGAGATTTCGTCACACACCAGGCTATCACGACTGATGAGACTCACAAAATAAGTAAAACGCTCTACACTATCAGCTACTTCACTCCCTATCACTAGTTCAGGGGACAAAGCAAACGAATTCTGAAGCAAAATATTGCATTGCTAGCATTGTTGCTTTGGGTCAGAAGGCTGCATCTTCACTTAGTAGAACTGTTTCATCGGCGTATTCTAAGTCAACAAACGAATGTTCTGGTAAAAGTAAAATGTTAGAGATGACCAGTAACGCAAAACCACTGATTATTGGGCTGTAAACCAATTATTAAATCTTCTCATACTACTACTACCATCAGGTGTGACAAAAGTATATTTAATAGTAAAAATAATAACAGCTTACCAAATGAGCAATATGACACATGGTAAGTAAGGTCCCAATGTAATATACACAACCAGCATTTACGTTAATTCCAACTGTGAGGAGACACGCTGTCATTCCCAAATGAAAAGCGCCCAAATATAACTTTGTTTTTTCTCCAAACAAAATGGCAGTTGATTTTACGCCTATGCGGATATCATCATCAATATCCTAGAAAAGAAACCCTTGTTAAATATTTAATGTAAAATCACAAACTTTAAAGCAAGCTATGAGCACAGACCTGATGTGCATATATTGTGTCGTATATGATTGTCCAATTGAAACCACCAAAATAGAGAGGAATTGAAATCAGGGGGTCAATATAACCTGCGACGGCAGAATAGCCCAACAAAGCACCCCAGTTGAATGTAAGACCTACACAGAACAAATAAACCTAGTCTTTAAATTTTAGATAAAAAACAATAAGGTGCTGCTGGTTTACTGGGCAAGATAAAGCACAAAATCTAGGTAGGCGAAATTGTCATATTTTACATGCAAACTACATGAATATTTTCAAAATGGGGGAATTATTAGCGTGATAAAGTTCTAAGGCAAATGCAAAACATCCTCACTTGATGAGAATATATAGTATCGTACGTGCAGGTCCAAAACACTGCAGCTAAATACAAAGGAGTACACACGGAGAAAGGACAAAAACCATTTATAGCAGAATACCCAAGCCAAACACCCCAGTTCAATGTTAAACCTGTAACATCACATTGCAATAAACCTAGGTAGGAAAATGCTATACTGATTCTTACCAAGTACAAGCTGCGGCCAGTGAGTAACACGTTTGAACAGAGGATACGTGACAACAGGAACCATTGACAGGAAACCAAGAAATACACTTCAGAAAATCTCTGGAAAGAATTTCAAACCAACCTGTACCAATTTAACTGTAATAATATCAAAAGCGAAGTCGTCAGTTGTACACCAAGGAATGATAATGCCTGAGGAAAGGTTAGTGCACCTGAAGCTAATGGACGATCTTTGGTGCGCTTGACTAGCATATCGTATTTTTTATCCCACATATCATTTATTGTACAACCTGCACTTCTCATTAAAATGGATCCTACGCCAAATAGGGTTAGCATATAAAGGTCTGGTAAGTGACCTGGTGGTGCAGCTAGAGCAATGCTCCACGTGCAAGGAAGGTAAAGTAGCCACGTGCCTGTTGGTCTAGCGAATCGTCCGAGTTCAAAATATGACTTCAGTAACTGAGAGGAATTGTCTGACTGAATTTTAGGCGTATTAAAACGACGAGACGTATAGAGAAAACGAGAATATTTATTGCATCCAAACCGCATAAAACTATGTAGCATCGTGATTGATCTGCTGATTAAATTCTATTTAAGTGCCTTGATATAATCAATACAGAGATTTTGCGTTGAACAGGAAGATGAATCCTTAAATGGATAGGCCGAAGTTATCCGGAAGGCTGAAAGACGAAACTGTGCTGTGAATTGATTTCATATCGACTAAAAGACTATAACCTAAAACGAATAGAAGAAGAAAAAGTGACTGTCCATGTTTGAACTGGTTATTTAAAAAATCTTGTGATATGCATTTTTACATGAAATTATTTTATCTGTAACATCAAACTTTCAGTATAATGGCGCCAGAAGTCATAAAATGAGATGACATTATTAATAAACACAGATGATTGGAAGAATCGATTGCACCAAATCTTTCTCAATGTTTCACCAAGTTCCACTTTTTGAGCTTCATTTTAACAGGTATAAAAACAAAGTTTGATGATTGTTTCAAGTTGGCGTTACAGCTGAATAGGTAATACGCAGACCTCGAATCCAATATTATTGATGTGCGGAGGTTACCCTGGACAGTGATTTTAGTGACGAAAGTCTCGAAATACGAAGTCCCAAGTGTCGTGGATAGAAAGCAGAACTGATAATCCATATGAGGTGAGATGAATAAGAAAAGCTTGGTTATTTACTACAAAGAATGGAACTGCTACTCAGTCTGCTAATTTATGCAGGTCCCGAGTTTAGAGCCAATACTTAGATGAAACACAAGGGCTTGAACCCAAACATTTGTACTCTAAGTAACCTAGAAGTATTTATTAACAAATGACAAGTTATTGATAATTAATTTCATTGAAATCGATAAGTATTTTTAACGATATTCATTGTCAACCGCGTTCCAGGCTTTTCTCACGTATCCCTGGTCATTTGACCAAAGCCTCTTACAGTGGAGATTTGTGATTCGGTTGCTTTTAGATTGATTAAGTGTTTGCTGTCAACTTAACAGTAAAAGAGGTGTTCAAAAAATACTGATATCTACTTAAATAAACTACTTGTTGACGGAGCTTGCCGGCTGGTAAATTATCGCGTTCTCACAGCATCGGGAACCAAAAATCTTGGAAAAAATTTTGAAAAATCTGTTTCTACACCTTACATTGACTACTTGCCAGAAACCTGTGGAAATACCTACGTGACGTAGATATTTCGAACTAGCCGCTGCAGAGTTAAAAAATTTCCATGAATATATCACAGTTATAACTTGATTATGCTACTATGTAACAGAATTATTTTGTAGTCATCGAAAAACTTCAGAAAGCCTTTAACGAATTTCACTGAAATCATGTAAGTTGTTTAGCACGATTGTTTGAAAATGATGGCTTGTAAGCACGAAAACCCTACGCATTGCAGGTAGCGTGTTTTTGAGTTCCGCTTCTTCAACACTGAGTGTATCCTCTCTGCTGTGGTACAAATACAGAAAAAGTGGATTAAAGCGCCCGTAGACTTGAGGTAATTTCGAAACCGCCAAACGTCCTTGGTTGTCATAGATCGACTGAAGGTGAAATACAGAGCTAACGGAATGTATGAACAAACGTAACCTCCTTTAACTTAATAAACTCTTGAGATAAGGCTGCACAACTTTTACAGCAAATAGCTTTGTATTTGTAGCAGTAGATACTCAGGAAATTTAAAGGCCTAATGTGTGTTGCACGATGTTGTAGAGATCAGAAGAAAACCCAAATGACTTCTGCCCGGTTAACAGTTGTAAAAAAGAAAACGAAACTTATAAAAAGAAAATAGCATGTACAGTTGTGAACTCCAACGGCATCCATTCTGAAGTTACTACAGGTCCCATGCCCGGATAAAGGAAGAGGGCTGGTTATTGTGTTAACTAACCCATCGAGAAGGAAACCAACTCACTAAAAAGACACTAACCTAAAAAGCTGTTTAAATCATTCGAAATCTGTTCTCCGGTTCAGAAATTTTTCATTTAGTAGAGGAGATTCTGATATACTCTGACCATGAGGAAGTAAACGTCCGAGCACGCGAAGAGTTGCACTGATGTCATTCAAAAATGCACAGAAAGAATAACTGGATAGTAATCTCATGGATCATCATTTAATTCTCTATGCCTATCAACAGTTACAACAAAGGCATCAAAGACCGGTTATACGAGGCTGCAGTCACTAGCTGAGAATCGCTCATTAAATTACTCAGCCATTCTGACGGGGAACCTAAATTCCAAGGTTGGAAGGGGCAGCACCGTATATAAAAATAATTTATTCTCAAATAAAAACGTGTCTTGCCAATTTACAGGCAAGATCAAACTGTTAAAATTGCTATCATAATTTCTATAAAAGATTGTTCAGTTATATAAATATTTCTTAATATACATAGGCTTTTTATAAAGCGTCAATATTTTTCACACAAAATTGTAGACAATGTTTTCAACTTCGGAATGTACATTGCAACTGCTGGTGCGAGTTATGTCTTTTGCTTTGCGATGAACTGCTGCTATATGAGAATCAATGCATGATAAATCCAGGCTTCCGTATAATAAGAACCGATGAGCTAAATGTGTAATAATCTCCTTTTTCAGATTCGCAAGATAATAATTTGACAGACTCCTGGGTAAAGTAACCAAGTCTTCCGCACTTATCGAGGCTAATGTCTATGGAGTAGAATGAGGTGTTGAAAAAGAGAAACGGGCCAGGGACATGACAGAAAGTATTCGTGTTTAAAGCTGAGTCTTGACTTAGCAGATATTTTTCTGGATAAAACGAAGGTATGATTAGCCATACATTTCTTTTTCCGTATTCGAACACTAACTGGACAGCTGCACTTATGTACGTTAATGAAGACACGCCACTATTAAGATAAGGGATCAGCAAATAATCTTATAAATAGAGGAGATCAAAAAGAACTAAATAGTAAAAATTACGTAGATTACTAAAACACAGTAATGAAGGCACAGTGATCTAAAGCTTTGTCGATATTTCGTTTATTAGCTAACTAGTGAACCCTTTCCAACATAATCTTCCAGACTTGCTTGTTATAGGATGTGTTGTTAGGTAGTAAAACCAGTTCAAGGTTACAAACATGAGTAATGTTATACACTGTTACGTTCCCACCACCCGTATCAATAGGGATGATAAAGAACAATTCTAAGAGAGGCTGCAGTCAATCATCGACAGATGCTCTTCTCACAACCAGAGTAACCATTCTTTTAGGTACATGGAGCGTACGAACATTGTGGGAGACTGGAAGACTATTTAAGGTTGCTGCAGAAATGAAAAGATACAACATGGAGTTGCTTGGAATCAGTGAGACACATTGGACGCAGGTTGGACTACTAAAACTAGCTCCAGGGGAACTGCTGTTGTACTCTGGTCATCAAGAGTAAAATGCTTCACATACACAAGCAGTTGCACTGATGCTGTTCAAACAAGCACAAGAGGCACTGATAGGATGGGAATCTCATGGACCAAGGATCATTAAAGCTTCCTTCAAAACAAAGAGAGATGACATTACAATGAACGTCATCGAATGCTATGCACGTACCAACGACTACAATGACGACGATAAAGATCAATTCTACGAAAGACTGCAGTCAATCGTCGACAGATTCTCACCAAAGGATTTGCGATTCTAATGGGAGACTTAAATGCCAAGGTTGGCATGGATAACACTGGATATGAAGACATCGTGGGACAACATGGACTGGGAGAAAGGAATGAAAACGATGAGATTCGCGAACCTATGTGCCTTCAACAAACTGGTCATCGGTCGCACAATATTCCCACATAAACGCATACACAAAGCTGCGTAGATTTCACTGGATCACACTGTACAAAACCGAACCGATCATATCTGCATTAATAAATAGTTCAGAAGGACCATGGAGGACGTGAGAACCAAGAGAGAAACTGATTTAACCTCAGATCACCACTTGCTTGTCGCCAAAATGAAACTGAAACTCAGAAAACACTGGACAACAGGACGGACACCAGCACAAAAGTTTATTACGGCTTTTCGTCGAGATACTGAAAAGCTCAACGAATTCAAGATACGCCTCAGCAATAGGTTCCAGGCATTTCACAATCTACTCAATGGAGAGGGAACAACCATGTAGAAAAAGATACATGGGGTAACCACTTCAATATATCAAGACATTCTGGACCACAAGCAGTACCATCATAAGGAATGGATCTCTGTTAGTACAGCTAACACTCGTTCGGGACCTCTAAATCAATGTTGGCCCATCTACAATTGAAGAGATCAGCATGGCCAGCAGACAAACCAAAAGCGGCGGGACCAGACAACATTCCAGCTGAGGCAATGAAAGCAGAAGTGACAGCAACTGCAAAAATATTCCACATTCTCTTCAACAAGATTTGGGATGAGGAACAAGTACCAGCAGACTGGAAAAAAGGATACCTCATCAAAATACCAATGGAAGGCGATCTCAGAAAGAGTGAGAACTACAGAGGCATCACTCTTCTCTCAATACCAGGCAAAGTCTTCAACAGCGTATTGTTAACCAGAATGAAGGACTTCGTAGACGCCAAACTTCGAGACCAACAGGCTGGATTTCGTAAGGATCGATCGTGTGCTGGCCAAATTGCTACATTACGGATTATTGTGGAACAATCAATTGAACGGAACTCACCACTATAGAACAACTTCATCGACTACGAGATAGCATTCGATAGTGTGGACAGGAAAACACTATGGAGGCTTCTTCGACACCACGGCGTGCCTGAGAAGATAGTCAACATCATACGGAATTCTTATGATGGATTAACCAGCGAAATCGTGCACGGAGGTCAACTGACAAACTCGTTTGCGGTGAAGACCAGTGTCAGGCAAGGTTGCTTACTCTCACCCTTTCTCTTTCTTCTGGTGACCGACTGGATTATGAAGACGTTAGCATCTGGAGGGAAGCACGGTATTCAGTGGACAGCTAGAACGCAGCTGGACTTCGAAGATGATCTGGCTCTTCTATCTCACACGCAACAACAAATGCAAGAGAAGACGACCAGTGTAGCAGCAGCCTCAGCAGCAGTAGGTCTCAACATACATAAAGGGAAAAGCAAGATTCTACGATACAACACAACATCCGTCAACCAAACCACTCTTGATGGAAATGCCTTAGGGGACAGAAAGCCTCTACATGTCTAGGCAACATTATTGACGAGCAAGTTGGATCTGATGCAGATGTGAAGGCGCGGATCGGGAAAGCAAGGGCTGCATTTCTGCGACTGAACAACATCTGGAACTCCAAACAACTTTCAACCAACACCAAAATCAGGATTTTCAATACAAATGTCAAGACAGTTCTACTGTATGGAGCGGAAACATGGAGAACTACCAAAGCCATCATACAGAAGATACAAGTATTTATGAACAGTTGTCTTCGCAAAATACTTCGTATTCGTTGGCCAGACACTATCAGCAACAACTTACTTTGGGAGAGAACAAACCAGATTCCAGTGGAGGAGGAAAGCAGGAAGAAGCGGTGGAAGTGGATAGGACACACACTGCGTAAAGCACCCAACTGCATCACAAGACAAGCCCTCACACGAATCCTCAAGCACTTTGAATCCGTTGGCCAGACAAAATCATCACCATCCTAGTGTCTGTGCCATGATTGACCTAATATTTTCATGTCAATACTTATGTATATTTGAGTAAAGCCCAATGACAATCTAATCGGAAACAATATTATTCACTTATATGTGACTCTCTAATTCAGCATGAGTCTAATCTAAAATATTTAGTGTGTTCAGAATTTAAAACGTATCAATGAATACTTCAGACGAAGTAGTCACATGTATATGACATTCATTAAAAACAACTGCTGAACAAAGATCGAATTGATTAGTTTTTCTGCTCCCAATCAATATATAAGCTGAAATCACATAATGGAAGCAACATTTTGCATTTCGAGGGGGAAAACCGCATCCCGAACATGCTTGCATTGTTGCTTAGTGTAATCAGAACACTCTGCACTTTGACAGCGTCTTCACCAAGTAGGAATATGTCATCGGCATATTCTAAGTCAATAAGCTAGCCACCTGGAGTTGGTCAACTTCTGACCCGACCGCAGATG